CGACTTTTAGTCATCTTTTCGTCGACTATATTCGTTTTCTAAAAGATATCTTTATAACTATTTAGTCACCATTTAGTCATCTTTTAGACGACTTTGTGCTCTCTGGGAACGTTCCCAAAACTATCATAGTTCGACCATTTCAATGTCGAACTACTAAAATTATAATTAATTTCTTTTATCCGTCTTGACAATACTTCCTATCGCTTTACCTGGATGTTTCTCACTGATCGCGTGGATAAATCTTTAAAACCAAACTTATTTCCTGTACCAAATTAACTCTTGGACTTTTTGATTACAGGTGTGATGACAACTTTGGCTCGGAGCCTTTTGCCGCTTGGTATATTTCTTAAATTAATTAAAATAATAATATTTTATGGATTACATTTTCAAAACAACGCATTGTTTGTTTGTTACAGGTAGTTACGTGATCGATCGCTTTATCCGGTGGTCGGATGATACATTTTTGCTAATCAAACTCCAAAACAACTATGTACGCTGATTTCTACATATAAATAAAATCAAATTTATGGATTACAATCATTAATTAAGGTCGTATTTTTTTGTTACAGGTGATCACGTGACTTATGGATTGGCCCTACTTTCGGAACCCTCTCTATTGATTCGTAATTGTAAAATAACTATGTATGCTCAAACTATTATTAAAATAAACGCTAACGCATGGATTATATTTATTTTTCCTTATCTGCCGCCCGAATTGTCATCACTTTTTTCTTTTAGATATTTAACTAATGCTTTTCCTTTCAGGTAAAGGTCTCTAAACACTTGGGAACGATATTCATTGAGTTTTACATTTTATTTTATTTCGTATATGCTCACACTCATTCATTAATACATGTAATACTGTATAAAATATAATAGTCAAATACCGAACTAATCACAATCTATAGTTAAAATAAAATATATAAAATCAGTGATTGATGATGATACTATAATATAAAACCATAAAGTATATAAAAATATGGTAAGTTTATTCCTCGGTTTCCATTATTACTGATGATATTATTGGCTCATATGCCGGACTTTCCGGCTCGACCTCCTCCTTGGCCGCCACTTCCGGAACTGCTGTCGGGTGGTACGATATTGCCTCTCGATCCTCCATCCACTTCTTTACTATTTGCAGTGCACGTTCCGCAACGGACGACGAATCTTGACGTCGGCTGCTGACATCAGCCGAAACCGGCTCAGGCTCTGACGTCGGTTTCAATGTGACGCGACTCGGGATGCCGAGCAAGCGAGAGAATCTGTCTTTCTCGCTCCGCTCTCTCCTTGTTCGACTGATGCGATCGAGGTAGTTTTCTCGGAATGTGACAAGGGAATAACCATCCCAAACTTTGCTGAATTTATAAAATATGATAACATATCCCTCATATCAATGCACTATAATAGCAATCATGTCAATGCGCAATAGTTTATGAGATATTATTGTTATAATTGTCTGTGTACCTTATATACTAAATTCGTAAACCTGAGATACATCTAGTTCGTGTGGTCGAGCGAGTAAAGCGCGTGACTAGAACGTACGTGACCGGATGTTTTATGTTCGAGTCCTACTCTTTTTTCGTATTTTTTTTAGTAAAAGGCGAAACATATTTTAATATAATTATTGAAATTATTCATTTACTTTTCATGTAGGAGAAATACTTGTATATTTTTTAATTACGTTGACATCCTTACAAAGTATAAAATTATCGCTTTTGTTCCTAATTGTTACAATTTTTACATTTATTCGGATGATAATTATTTAGCGAACAAGATTTTAATGCAATGATATATATATTTGATATAATATTATTAATACATCAAATATATAAAATATGTATATAATATCATTGCAGTAAAATCTCGTTCGCTAATAAGTATCATCTGAATGTATGTAAAAATTGTAACAATTAGGAACAAAAGCTATAATTTTATACTTTGTAAGGATGCCAACATAATTTAAAAATATACAAGTATTTCTCCTACATGCAATGTACACAAATAATTTCAAAAATCATATTAAAATTGTTTTGCCTATTACTAGAATAAAAGAAAATTACGAAAAAAAATAGTAGGACTGTAACATCCAATATTCTATTCATGCGCTTTACTCGCTCGGCTACAGGAATTAGCTGAAGTTAAAAAATAAAATTTTGAAGGAGGGGAAAAGAGACGGAGAGCCATATTTACAATTTATATATATATAAATATATATATATATTTATACATATTTACATGTAAAACATAAATCGAAATACATAAATCATAATCGAAATACATAAACCATAATCGAAAAATCTTTTTTTTTTATTTCCCCGGCACGTATCCTGGCGGCAACGGGACGTACCCCGACGGCAACGGGACGTATCCCGCCGAGGGGACGTATCTCGTCGGTGGAACGTATCCCGTCGGCGGAACGTATCCTATCGGTGGAACGTATCCCGTCGGCGGAACGTAACCCGCCGCCGGAATAAACCCTGGTGATGGCAACGATGCTGCAGCGTATCCTGGCGAAAAGATATATCCCAGCGGCGACGGCGCTGGGATATATGGTGTCACATATCCTGACGACGGCGATAGTGCTTGCATACAGGGTGTCCCGTAACGCTTAATTAATATTTCAAGGCGTGAAAGAGAATGAAATTTTGAACTAAAAGTTCCTCTTTCAATTTTGACTCAGACCATTATTTACAGAGTTATTAACGAATAAAGTTAATCAATCAGATCGCGCTTAGCCGGAGTACGCAGGAGCGTAGCGTATCGTATGTGCGGCTCTTCGCGCTCACTTCACATACATTCTCCTGTGAAGTGAGCGCGAAGAGCCGCACATACGGCACGCTA